ATTTGGCTCATCAAGTTCCTGTTCTGGCGAACCCTAGAGAGTTCCTCCGAGGCCACCAACACTCTACTCAGTAGAGGACCTGGATACTTGGCCCGTTACATTGTCGATATGCCCGCTTGGTCAGCCTGTTTTCTTGGGATCGGTACCACCTATGCATGATCTCCAATTGTTGACCCCATATGCGTCATTCAGCAACAGTGCAGTTCCTTCTTAGGCGGACATGTGTCTTCCCTACCTGCTAACCATTTTATCATATGTAGTTCTCCCCCTAGTTAGGGCTAGCCCATATGTCCATATTTTCACCAGGTCTCCCCAGATGGGTAGCCTCCGCAGCATCCTTTTCCTTTGGGACTGGCACACTTTCCCAACATATTCCAAAATCCCTGGTCTACATACAGCTAGGTAAAAGACTGTTTCAACCTACTTAAATTTTAATCTAAAAAAATATATATATTCTGGTGAGTAAGGGAACACAAGTGTAATGAGGTCCAAGTACTGTGGTGCTTTCCATACACTTGCCCAAAGTGTTGTACCAACACAACATTGAAATTCCCAATCTGAAGGGGAATGTCCCAATTATGAACATAACCCACATTTTACGGAGGCGGGAGTGAAGATGTCGTGTCTTCCTGCCACAGTAGCTGGGTCTTGAGCTGAATATGTGTGGCTTCTTCTTTAATAAAAGCCTGGCTTACTCTCCTACAGGTGCTGGATTTACACTCAACTGATTGTTATCGGCAATACCTGTGCGAACTGCGCTCTGTCAGTTCATAGACATTCATCGATTTGTTTTCTTACTCTTTATAATTATTGGTCAGTGGCAGGGGTCTAGTGACTCCTAAAAGTGCCATACCGACACTGCATTTCCATCTCCTCTTTCAGGCAACCTCAGTTTGTCAGCTTGCTCCAAGAGAAGGTAATGTCTTTTGGAATCGTCTAAAAGTGTGATAATAATGAACTTCTAAGCATTATAATTTTATATATTTTACATATTTTTACATATTTTAAAATAAAAAATTACAACTATTTTTAGATTTTATTTTGAAATGTCATTTATTCCCTTCAAATCTTCACATATTTCACTGTTAAAAAATGCTGTGTTTCACACGTGTTTACTATACGTTTATTTAAGAATTTTCCCACATTTATCTTATTTGTGGGAATAAGAATAAAAGAATAAATAAGAATAAAATCTTATCTTCTACTCTCAATGAGTGTGCATCTTTTTCAGCTTTAAGTAAATAATTTCATAGAATTATGTAGATTTTCTCTTAACATTAAATGCTGAAAAAGTTAAAATGTCTGGAGAGTCATTCAACTACAAAAAAGTGAGCATGCGTTTGAAGTGTCTCTTGATCTAATCTAGACTTCCTGCCTGCAGTGACTTCCTTCCTGTCTCCTCGTCAGGTGGATCCTGCGTCCTGCTGCGTCCTGCTCACGGTTTATTAATGAACACAGCTTTCAATCCTGTGGAAACAGAGTAATCTAAATGATTGAATATGTGTCCACAGATTGCTGCGATTCATTTATTACCCAATGTTTGTCTGATAAACAGCATTAACAGGACTTTGATGAGAGAGGGGAATGGGAAATCTGCATCATTGTCTCTCAATAGTGGCAAAAATACTGGAGAAAAACCAGCTACTTTGTTCACAAAGGTTCACACAAAAATTTTAAAAGTTAGTATATTCACCCTCAGGTCACTGATGGTGACTCTATTTTTCTTCAGAAGGACATTAGTGAAGATTTTGAGCTGAATCCATGGTGCTTGTTGGTCTGTAATGCAAATCAAAAATCCAAGTCCAATCTTATCAGTCTGTGCAAGTAATGTAACATTATTTACATTGAACATATTATTATTATTATTATTTTTTTTTTTTATTATTATTATTGTTGTTGTTGTTGTTATTGTCGTTATTATTATTATTATTATTATTATTATGCTCCGAGGATGCATTTAGGCTTTAACAGAAGATGTTTTTTTAATTCCTCCTTTTAGCTCATTTGCAATTTCAAATGTTGTGTAATTAATAAAATATTTTTTTATTCTATTTTGTTTTATTTCATGCAATGTAATGTAATGCAATTTATCAGACTAACTGTTAGTTATAACAACATTTTATTTTATTAAATAAAAAACCCTAATAATAATAATAAAAAAACAGAAACATGCATGTGTTTGTCCAATGCATGATTGTCCAAAATAAGGTAACTGTTATAAATTACACTCACAGTCTTCTTTCTAAAATAAAAATTGCATCTGAGTGTGCCTTCACACATTTATCATGGAACCAGAATCTGTTGGAAACCTGTAACCATTGACTTTCATAGTATTTGTGTTTCCTACAATGAAAGTCAATTGGACTTCTGGATTGAAAGATGCAACATGGACCTGATTGTAGCACAAAATACACCGATTTTGTAAGTGTGCTCTTTGTGAAAAATCAACAATAGGTTTAGAAGATCGTCTAAGCTTAAAATACAGAACAGAGCAGGAAATAAAACTCCCTTCCAGAGAGAATTATGATCCCTCGAACAATGACAGTAATAAATATCTGACACTGCATTTTTATCGGTATCGCCATGACCCTCAAAATCATGATCTCATCATTAATATGGGAGGGCCAAATGATAGATCCCAGCATGCTCCACTGGAGACTCCCAGCACTAATGCTGGCCTTGGCTCGTATATCACTGCGAACATTTTTGGACACATCTAAGAGCGCTTTCATAGCAAGGACTAAATGTTTTAGGTTGAGGCTACATGCATTAATAGTGATAATGGTGCTTTTTACGCACTATTCTTACATTTAATTAGATACAAATAAAGTCTACAACATTTTATCATATGAGTGGTGTTGTAACCTTTCACACTACATGATGAGAAATAACAGAAACAGGAATTACAACCCAGACGTTATCATTGTTCTTGTGATTTGCAGTATTGATATTGTTCATTTAATATATTGATTTCTTGCTTATAGCTCATTTGTAACTAGTTATTCATTTATCGATTGACTTAAAGGCTGCTGATGCAAGAAGACAGAAAAAAACAAAATAATTGTAATTGTAGAAATTCTAAACCCGTCGTTATTATACTGTTGTTTTTTAAATTCACCCTTTTAGCTTGTTTGCAATTTCAAAAGTTTTATATGAATCAATTAAAGAATTGTTATTTTATTTTATTTTATTTTATTTTATTTTATCTTATTTTATTTTATTTTATTGAATTTATCACACCCGTTATAACAATGTCCACATGGAATCTGCATGTGCTGAAATCTGCAGATATTTAGCTCATCCTTGAGCCTATTTAATTACTTCTTTAAATGTATGTAAATGTATATTTATTCAGATTATAAATTAATTTCAGTAATATAAAAATGTTTATATGATTTATTTATAATACAGTATTTAAAGTAATGTTTTCTGTCTTTAAGTAGATACATTATGTAAGAGACTTGCTTTGTTTACCAAGTAAGGGAATCTAATTGAATTTGCATTTTAAACATTAAATAAAAGTTATTATTTTTTATTTCATACATTAAGTTTTAGATATGATACTCCAAAAATCATTTTGCATAAATCCACAGATTTTTTTTTACAAAATTCTCCACAGAAATAGCAAAACATGCCCGCAGACTCTGTCTGGCCCTATAACAAAATTTGTTATTTTTTTAAAACCCATTAATAATTCAAAAATATATAAACAACCGATTATTCCGTAACATTTAATAATATAAAATATTATAATTAATGTTAGTAAATTAATTGATTTATATTAAATACTTTTTTTTTAATAAAAAAAAAATCCTCAAAACTATCCAGTCCAATGATTCACCATATCATACATGATAGATCAGTCCCATCTTGTAAAGAACACAATTAATCTTCAGAGGGACGTTGTTTCTTCATCTTCACATCAGCACTCTTGTTAAGTCATACCTTATTATCACATTTTTTACCTTCAGATGTTTTCTCTGATTGTGACACTTTGTTCCTGGCAACATTTACAAAAAGTACCAACAGCAACAACATGTGCTTTCTTGTTAAATGCACTTTTTTGTTCTACCAGAGCACTTTTATCTCTGATGTGTTTTTTTTTTTTTTTTTTTTTTTTTCCTCATTCCAAACTGAAATGATTGTTCTGGTTAGATCAGACATAGCTCAGCTCCAACAGGTAAGGCTTTTCTTACTTTGTCTCCATCTCTGACTCTCTCTCTCTCTCTCTCTCTTTCTACACACATGCAGGTGTCAGGAATCGTCTTGCTGGCTTGTCAGAGCTGCTCTGCGCCATGTCTGGAGTGATTCATCTTGTTGCCAGGATCATTAACTTCCTGTTGGAAGGACTGACATAGAGAAAGTCAAAGCAGACTCACGAAGAGCTGAAGTGCCACCAAGCCTTCCATATTAATTAGGTAGAAACTTTCTCTTATTTGCTTCTCTCCTCCATGAGTGTCTCTGCTGTTATGCTGCAAAAATCACATAAAGCTATGAAGAAAAAAAAATTAAACCCTGCTTAAAAATTCTATTTTTTACTGTATTTATTTAGGGATGGGTTTGGGTAAAATCTATTTTAAATGTTTACATTTTTTAAGTATTAATTTTAATTAATTATAATTTTAATTGTCCTGTGTCCAAGAAACACTACCTCTAATGCTTTTTGAAATACTCCCATGAAGTTTGTTTTTTCTTCAGTTATTTGTTGAATAAATGTTTTTACTATGCAAGTAGTATTGCCTTTTCTTTGTGCAGTATAAAAAAATATGTCCAAAAAAATGTACTTTAACTTATTTTGATATGTATAATTATTAGTAATGTTATCTAAGAACAGTTTGATTGATATAAGTCGGGATGACTTAAAAGGTTATTTAATAAAACTAAAACAAGGCAGCAATATTTTTTACTGGGGTTTTTAAGATGTAAAATGAGTCTTTACATTTTTTTTAAAGTCTTAAATTGTATAACTTTTTTATATTTCAGGTTTAATTTAGGAAGAAATGTTATCAGTAGTTTGTAGAAAAAAAATAGATACTCATCGGCCACTTTATTCCAACTGCTTGTTAACACAAATTTTTAATCAGCCAATCACATGGCAGAAACTCAATTGGGAAGAAAGGTGATTTAAGCAACTTTGAATGTGGCATAGTTTTTGGTGCCAGAAGGGCTGGTCTGAGTATTTCAGAAACTGCTGATCTACTGGGATTTCTGTGGGCGCAAATGCATTGTTGATGCCAGAGGTCAGAGGAGAATGACCAGACTGGTTTGAGCCGATAAAAAGACAACAGTAACTCAAATAACCACTCGTTACAACCGAGGTATGCAGAAGTGCATTTCTGAATGCAAAACACATCCAACCTTGAGGCAGATGGGCTACAGCAGCAGAAGACCACACCGAGTGCCACTCCTGTCAGCTAAAAACAGGGAACTGAGGCTACAATTCACACAGGCTTACACAAATTGGACAATAGAAGATTGGAAAAACGTTGCCTGGTCTGATGAGTCTTGATATCTGCTGTGACATTCGGATGGTAGGGTCAGAATTTCAGTGGCAACAACATAAAAGCATGTATCCATCCTGCCTTGTATCAACAGTTCAGGCTAGTGATGGTGGTGTAATGTTGTAAGGGATATTTTCTTGGCACACTTTGGGCCCATTAGTACCAATTGAGCATGTCAATGCCACAGCCTACTTGAATATTTTTGCTGACCATGTCCGTCTTTTTATGACCACAATGTACCCATCTTCTGATGGCTATTTTCAGCAGGATAACGCACCATGTCATAAAGCACGAATCATCTCAGACTGGTTTCTCGAACATAACAATGAGTACACTGTACTCAAATGGATTCCGCAGTCACCAGAACTCAATCTAATAAAGTACTTTTGAAATGTGGTGGAATGGGAGATTCGCATGCAGCCTACAAATCTGCAGCAACTGTGTGACAAATCTGCAGCAACTGATATCATGTCAATTTGGACCAAAATCCAGTACCTTGTTGAATCTATGTCACGAGGGATTAAGGCAGTTCTGAAGGCAAAAGGAGGTCCAGCCCAATATTTGTAAGATGTACCTAATAAAGTGGCAAGTAAGTGTATATATTACTCATACACATAACTAAAAATAGTATATGCAGGTATTATTTCTCATTGCGGCATACTGGAAAGATAAATATAGGTGAAGAATATTGCAAAGATAGAACAGTTTACTTTTGTATGCAAAAATCTTGTTATATTTGGACCGCTGAGGTATACAAAAATGTGCTTGTCCAATCAAACAGCCTTGTGTTTTTAACTACGAGGAAATCATTTAGATTAATCAGACACTTGCGTTCACGCTTGTCCCATTATTAAACAGTCACTAGCGCCCTGATTGTCCCATTAGAGTAATGAGCTGCTGTCACTGATGACTAATTGCATCATTTCAGTAATGTTGCTTTTGTTTATTTTAGTCCTGACATATGTTTACAGCTATCAATATTGTTTTTTGTCCTTTCGTTCCTTTTTAAGCAATTGTGGCCATCTGAAACCTTGAGTTAATTATCAACAAAATGTGAAATCTAATCAAATGAACCTCCTTTCCAGTACATTACGCTTTTCCATCGAACGTAATTATGTCACACACAAAATATATTTTTGTATGCTCCTATGCATCGGGTATCTTTTTTGTAAAGAGAAAGAAAAACTGTGTGCATTGAGTATCGCTCTATATGTCTTAAGTACTGGTTTATTTGAAGTTGCGCCAATGATGCTGAGACTAATGGTAGAAAATGAGTGGTGGATCACCTCATGACCTTTCACTATAGACCTCTATTGTTGTTGCCTGGTAACAAGATAATGCCCAGCTGCCCCTCAGCCTGTGCAGAAGGAAAGCGTCTTATTTTAAGATATTGTTTGAAGGGAATCTTACTGCACCTGAACATAAAACTGTTGCGGATCTTTTCTTGTGCTGTGTTTCTCTGTGGGCTTTGTCATATACTGTACTGTTGAAAGACAATATATACTAAGATCTTGGAGATAAAGGTATGCTTATTGAGATGCATTGTAATGATGGCAGCACATATACTGATGTTAGTAGTTTTTTATTACATTCCTGCACCCTCGAAACAAAGAAATGTTTAATATTGGGGGGAAAAAATAAACTGTTACTCTATTATATAGTAATTATACATGTTTACTGCAAAAGTGTATACAAGTGTTGGAAATGTAAATATATAATGCAAAAATCTATGGAAAACCATCCAAACTTCCACTTGAGTTGAACATTAAGGGTTTGTTTACACCAAAACAAGATACAAAAACAGGTTTCCATTTAAAATTGTAATAGTTTTGAGTACAGGTCACAAAATAGATTGATATGGATCTTCAAAAATGAAAAATGCTGTATTGCACATGCCAACTCAGTCAACACATGCAATGAATACAGTGGGTGTGTCCCATATTACATACTAATGTACTATTCTACATTAAACAGTGTGTGTAGTGTGTTCACAATAAAATATTTGTTTTATTCTAAAGGAATAAGTGCACTTTAAATAGCCGGATGATGCTCTTATTCAACCGTTAATATGAAATGTGGAATGTTGGCACTCAACGGTTTCTGCTTTGGTCACTTAGCAGAAGGGGCAGAGCTTTCGGGCACTCAAGTTGGATTATTGTATTTCTTTTGGATTGTGAAAGCTAAATTCTTCTATGAGAGGGATTATGCCATCTCCCGATAGTGAATGCGGTTATACTCTTGGCAGGTATCATTTGGTAGTTTGGTCATTTAATTTGGCAAACGTCATCTGGCAAACGGTTTGAATTCCCTCTTAGTAAAAAAAACAGTGTTCCTTTTGGGAGGACACTACATACATATAATTTGCTGTTGAGTGTGTAAGTGCATAAATACACAGTGCATAAGTATATAGTGTAGCATTTGGGATGCAACTAGTGAGTTCACATGATCCTCATACTGTGACCTCATGTTGTGAGTAATGTATGCGTGACTTCACACAATCCTCTTACTGTGACCTCATGCTGTGAGTAATGTATGCTTGACTTCAGTGACATCACATGATCCTCATACTGTGACCTCACCCTGTGTATAGTGGCTTCAATGTGACATCACAAGGTCCTCATATTTTGGGACTGTTACACTCTTAGCTCAATGTGACCAGTGGTGGAAAGAGTACTGAACAACCATACTTAAGTTAAAATATGTTACTTGCCTAAAAATGTAGTCCAATTAGAGTAAAAGTATCTGTTGTAAATATTACTTAAAGTTTGAGTAAAAAGTAGACATTTTAAAAGTACTCAAGAGTAGTGAGTATTACGCTGTAAAAAGCTGATGCATTTACATGTAATTTGGGATGTGTTTAAATGTAACATTCTGTAATGCAGTGGTTCTCAAACTGTGGTACATGTACCACAAGTAGTACGCAGGCTTCCTTCTAGTGGTATGCAAAGGAGTCGCTGAATAATTTAAGTAAAAAAATGAACACACTTTTAACCCTTTGACACGTACGATAACAACGATATGTTCAGTTTTAATAGGCTAAACCTTTTATTTTATTTTCAGATTTCTAATGTTGGTTATGTATTCTATGTGGGTCCTGCATGGCATATTTTTGGGCCATGTGGGCATTGGTTTGAACTGGTAATGCACATATGGGTCCTGCATATAATTTTTATAGGTCAAGTGGGCATGGGTTTGAACTGGGAACACAAATTTGGGTCCTGCATGGCATATTTATGGGCCAAGTGGGCATGGGCTTGAACTCATCTGGGCTGGCCCACGTGGGACTATTGGAAAAGTCACAGCACATTTTGGATTGTAATTTAAGAAATTGTTTATTTTAGAAACATTCACATTTAGATTTAATGTAGAAAATTTATATTTATGGTATAATACTAAAACAAAAAATGAAATACCAATATTTCCCTACAAAGATATTTTGTTTAACCATCTCATTTTCTCAGATGGACTGTCAAAATATTTTGATTAAGCCTAGTAACGGGCTATATGCACAGCTAGTGTTTCTCAGCCAATGATACTTCCGGTGACCTTTATAAGGTTCCTTTTACAGCCTCAATGTTGTAATGTCGATAAATAGAATCAGTTAAATAGACTTAAGCATCCATATGCTTGTTAAAGTGTAAAAAGAGACAAAAGACTGTTTAAAAGCAGGCACAGCCATTAGCAGCAGGCAAGCGCAAAAACTCCATTGAAAATACAGGGATAAAATTATTTCCATATTTAAAGACATGGCATGGAAAAATATAACAATGTAGTGCTTCTTGTTTGGTCTGATACCCACTTTATATCGGATCTCAGTCAGGCAGTGAAGATTACAGTTTTTAAAAGAAATCAGATCTTAAATGCAGCGATTTTTGTATGGGATTCACCGGAAGCCGTGGGGCAGCCAGACTGAACATAAAAGTTTTGTGTGCAACTGTGCATAAACCCCATTAAATGTTACTGAATATGCTGAATATGCATTTCATTTCTCATTTAAAAAGGTCTTTAAAAATAGGACAACCTTACCCCTTGCTGGACCTCAATTATTTAATCTAACAAGTCAGCCCTTAAATGGAGCAAAATGAATAACTATTGCCTAAATATTACATTAAATCTAAATGACAATTAATTTAATCTTAGTATTACATTACTGATGTACAAAAATGCAAATTTTAAAGTTATCTATCAATGTTTGTAGTCACACATGCAGTAAAGAATATTTTAGCAAAAACAGCTCTCGTCAAAATAACGGGTTGCGAAATGTCACAGACAATTGAGCCCACAAGTCCACCATGCATCAACACTATAATAGGTTTGCAAGACAAAAGAGCATTACTATACAGAAAACGAATAAAAGAGGCACAGTTAAAGTTACATTTCCAGTGTCTCCCCTTGATTAGTTTAACAGCTCGTTTGATCTTTGCCTGTGACTGAAGTGTTGAAGTGAAAGAGGGGGGAGCGTATAGCAGCTCCCCGCTCCACCACATGCCTGTGGGGCACAAACATCTTAATGTCACACGGAAATTAAA